TAAAACTATAAAACTATAAAACTATAAAACTATAAAACTATAAAACTATAAAACTATAAAACTATAAAACTATAAAACTATAAAACTATAAAACTATAAAACTATAAAACTATAAAACTATAAAACTATAAAACTATAAAACTATAAAACTATAAAACTATAAAACTATAAAACTATAAAACTATAAAACTATAAAACTATAAAACTATAAAACTATAAAACTATAAAACTATAAAACTATAAAACTATAAAACTATAAAACTATAAAACTATAAAACTATAAAACTATAAAACTATAAAACTATAAAACTATAAAACTATAAAACTATAAAACTATAAAACTATAAAACTATAAAACTATAAAACTATAAAACTATAAAACTATAAAACTATAAAACTATAAAACTATAAAACTATAAAACTATAAAACTATAAAACTATAAAACTATAAAACTATAAAACTATAAAACTATAAAACTATAAAACTATAAAACTATAAAACTATAAAACTATAAAACTATAAAACTATAAAACTATAAAACTATAAAACTATAAAACTATAAAACTATAAAACTATAAAACTATAAAACTATAAAACTATAAAACTATAAAACTATAAAACTATAAAACTATAAAACTATAAAACTATAAAACTATAAAACTATAAAACTATAAAACTATAAAACTATAAAACTATAAAACTATAAAACTATAAAACTATAAAACTATAAAACTATAAAACTATAAAACTATAAAACTATAAAACTATAAAACTATAAAACTATAAAACTATAAAACTATAAAACTATAAAACTATAAAACTATAAAACTATAAAACTATAAAACTATAAAACTATAAAACTATAAAACTATAAAACTATAAAACTATAAAACTATAAAACTATAAAACTATAAAACTATAAAACTATAAAACTATAAAACTATAAAACTATAAAACTATAAAACTATAAAACTATAAAACTATAAAACTATAAAACTATAAAACTATAAAACTATAAAACTATAAAACTATAAAACTATAAAACTATAAAACTATAAAACTATAAAACTATAAAACTATAAAACTATAAAACTATAAAACTATAAAACTATAAAACTATAAAACTATAAAACTATAAAACTATAAAACTATAAAACTATAAAACTATAAAACTA